AGGCAGACCCGCTGGGTTCACCTCGCAGCTCACTTTGCCACTCTGTAGCCATGTCTCACTCACAAAAGGAAGATGATGATGATACCTTCAATGGCAATTGTGATGAAAAGAATGACAGACAGCAAAAAGCCCTGTGTGAGTTTAGAAGAAACACCTCCATCCTCCTTGAAGGATTTATCCACTGCCTGGTGAACAAACAGATGTCTGGGTTTAGGTGAGTTGGGATTCCAAATTTCCAGACACCCTGGATTCAGTGAGAGCAAAATGGGAAGTTGTGGCTTCTAATAAGCTAGACAGCATAGAGATCTCTGGGCTTCCCTGATAGCTCAGCTGGTAAAGAATCCATTTGCCAGTGCAGGAGACACGAAAGACACGGGTTCCATCCCTGGGTTGGGAAGACCCCCGGAGAAGGGAGTGGCAACCCACTCCAGTATTCTTGCCTGGGAAATTCCATGGACAGAGGAGCCGGGTAGGCTATAGCCCATGGGGTCACAAAGAGTCGGACACAACTGAGCCTTGCCAGGTTTAGGTCTGAGAAGTGGAGCAAGTCCATTCTGTAATGATTTCTCACACTTGAGGGTAGTCAACCTCATCTAGTTCAAAAGGTCTTTCCTGGAAGTAAAAGGAAAATCTGCCTTGTGGCCACCAAAATCCTTTCATCCCCTTATCATCATCGGAAATGAAACTCCCAGGTAAATCACATCACTGGTTTAAAAATACACATGTATTTCTCAAAGGTGGTCAAGAAAACGATACTTGGTGTAACCATTGAATCAATGAGTAATAAAACCCAGAGCAGTAAAACCCACTTTTATTTTTGTGCTCCATCTTTTGACAAGTGCTGAATTAGACAGATGAGGGTTTGGATATAGTAGCATTTTCTGACATTTCTGTATCACTCAGCACACACACATGCAAATAATGTTTCTCATATTAATGGTCTTTTATGTTTAAAAAAATCTGTAAATTTGATTCTCCAAAGTTGAGACATTGAAATCATCAGCCTTGGCATTCAAATCTGTTTGTTGATGGCATGTTAAAGATGATTTCTACATTTGAATATTTGAAATTGTTCTTTCAAATAATAAAGTTCTATAAAAGAGTAGATGTCACATCTCCCAACAACAGTTTCTCTCTAAAAGAACGTGCAAATATCCATTGCCCATTTCCATTCACATCCAAATTAATTATCATCCCCTCTAAAACATTCTACTGCTTTCTCATCTGCTGACTCTTTTCTAGATTACTTAATTCTCTTTCCACTCTCGCAACCTTTATAGCTCCCAGATGCCACAATCATGATTTTGTTTAACGGTTAGCAATTATAATGGCCATGACTAAATTTAACCAGCAATTGTGCAAAAGTCTGATATCCTTGTGTAATCCAAAAGTTATCTAGCTTTATAGACAAAAATGCAAGAAATAGGATATTCTGAACAACAAACTTGAGGAAACAAAGGACTTTCTTTGGGTTTTTTAAATAAGGTGATAGGGGATTTCAGTTAAATGAGGGAAGAATACAAGAAATGGGGTCATATCCCAGTTGGTTAGAAGGAATTCCCTGAGATTTAGTGGACAGGAATGGAATGTGCTATCTGGGCAATATGATACAGAAAAGAAAATTCTGAAAACAGAAAAAAATTTCAGTTTTACTCTCCAAATTAATATCAATACACTTCTATGCAGCTAAAGACAGAGCTCAAGAAATGAGAGATCGGTCCTTAGTGCATGGATTCAAAAGATAGTATATGCGTATGTGTGTGTGTATATATGCATATATAATATATTTGTGTACATGTATACATGTGTGTATCTGTATACACATACACAATATACACATACATGCTTGTAGATGTAAGAATACATAATTAAATGAGACAGTAGAACATGTATTGACTTCATGTTCTGGCAAGATAGATACAGTACAACTATCAGAAAATGAGAAGATGGAAGCATGTACAGAATGTAGTTTAAGCTTGCTGATGGTCTTCTGTAGTATTTGGGGTAAAAGTAGTATTTCAATCCAGATGCTGAGGAAAAGAAGAGGCATCAGCTAATTTAAACAGTGTCCTAGGACAAAATCAATAATAAAGTCGATGAATAATACCTGAGAAAAGGAAGATACTAAGGAAAAGGCAGGCACTAAAATTCATACAAAATTATGAATACAAAAGGAAATCATTATCACAAATAAATTGGATTGGGTTGTGCGTGCATAGTCATGTCCAACTCTTTTATGACTCCACTAGGCTCTTCTGTCCATGGGGTTTTCCAGGCAAGAACACCGGAGTGGGTTGTTGCTCTTTCCAACCCAAGGGTTGAACCCATGTCTCCTGCATCTCCTGAATTGGCAGGTGGATTCTTTACCACTGAGTCACCTGGGAAGCCCGTATCACAAATACATACACCTTACTAACTAACAAACGTTTTATTGAAAGAGAGAGCAAATTAAATATATAAAATACTGTATCTTTTCTATTTAATTATACATAGTTACATATCCTACATATGCAAATATGCAGGGCTTCCATGGTAGCTCAGATGGTAAAAAATCTGCCTGCATTGAAGGAGACTCAGGTTGATTCCTGGGTTGGGAAGATCCCCGGAGAAGGGAATGCAACCCACTCCAGTACTCTTGCCTGGAGAATCCCATGAACTGAGGAGCCTGGTGGGCTACAATTCATGGGGTCAGACAGAATTGAGCAGCTGAGAACACATGCACGCAAATGAGCATTGGCTTAACCTAAATCACCAGTTGTGTTAGCCGCTAACAAGACAGTCATACTGCCCCTTGAAGGTCTGTGGTCAAGCATTGATTTCTCCTCTTTAGCTAGGAAAGTCCTAAATGGCATCTTCTTCCAACATAAGGCTGTTTCATCTACAATGAAAATCATTTTTTTTTTCATGCATTCATTATCTTAGCTAAATCTTCTCGGTAACCTGCTGCAGCTTCTATGAATATATCACCACTTGCCGTTTCACCTGACATGTTTATGTTATGAAGATGGCTTCCTGAAAACTCACGAACCAACACCTCTTTTGGTCTCAAGCTTTTCTTCCACAGCTTCTTCACCTCTCTCAGCCTTCACAGAACTGAAGAGTCAGCGTCTTGCTAGGCTTTGGCTCAAGAGGGCTGGTCTGATCTTCTGTCCAGACCACTCAAATCTCTTCCATATTAGCTATAAGGCTGCTTTGCTGTCTTATCTCCCGTGTGTTCACTGGAGAAGCGCTCGCAATTTCCTTCAGGAGAACTTTTCCTCTGCGTCCACAGCAACCCCGTGCTGAGCACGTCTTCGCAGACTGGTTCAAAAGGCTTCGCTTTCAGTCTGCGTCAGTTTTCACCATGCTTTCCCCACTAAGCCTTATCATTTCCAGCTTTTGATTTAAAGTGAGAAAGGTATGAGTCTTCCTTTCATTCAATACTTAGAGGTCTGATAATTGGTCTAATATCAAAATGGTTATGTCTCAGGGCCTAGGGAGGCCCAAGGAGAGGAAGGGAGATGGAGAAACAGCTGGGCAGTAGAGAAGTCAAAACATATATTTATACAGATTAAGTTTGTCATCTTATAGGGCATGGTTTGTGGCACCCCGAAAACGACAGCAGTAACATCTAATATCACAGATCACAGATCACCATAGCAATTAAAATAATAATGAAACGTTTCTAACATTGTGAGGATTACCGAAGTTTGACACAGAGACAGGAAGCGAGAAAAAGGCTCTTAGAAAAGTGGCATTGACAGACCCGCTCAACACAGGGTTGCTGAAAAACTTTAATCTGTAAAAAGTGTGATATTTATGAAGTGCAATTAAGTGAGGCACGCCTGTGTAAAAAAGTTAAAATTAGAATCACTGCCTACAACAGAATATACTGGATAAGTGTAAAAAAGATTTAAGTATAGAAAAAAAATGACATGAGTTCAAGAAAAAAACATGAGTAGGTTTTTTCACAAATGGGGGAAATCTTTCCTAATTATACCTCCAAATCCAGAAGCAAAATGGGAAATGGTTGGTATATTTGATTAAATAAAAATTCAAAACATTTGTCAAATGCCAAAACACAATAAGCCAAGCTAAAAAACTAGGGGAAAAAAATTACAAACTTGTAATTTCCCTATTGTATAAACAACTTGTAGAGAGAGAGAAAAGGCCAAAACCCTACCAAAAGGGGGCAGAGGTAAGCACCAATCTTGTTGATTCACAAACCCAGAGGCTTCCTGGATAAAATCTGAAACCTACCCCCATACAGAGAGGGTAAGATGTGCCTGCAGAAACAGACAGGGCAGCCACTCCAAATTGGTAGGTGGCAGGTTTAATAAGCAAGGGAACTTACACACCAGACCCGTTTTGGGCAGACACTGGACAAGTAGATCTTGGCATCCACCCATTGGAATCTTACAAGTTTATGTAGCGGCTTTAACCGGGTTTGGTCAGGGACACTTTCCAGAGGGTCTCAACACCACCCCACTCTCTCAAGGCTGCCTCCTGAAAAGAGCCCCCACGGTGGGAATGGAGGGCAGAGAGTACATCCCCAGGGCGGGGGCGGGGAGGAGCCTCCAAATGCCTGGCCCAGAGCTCAGGTCAACCGGAGTCACATCCTTTCAATCACCTCCTTCAACAGACACAAAGTGTTCACGGAAGAAAAAGAAATGCAAATGGCTTTTCAATGCATTAAAAGATCCTTATCCTTGCTTATAGTGAGAGAAATAACAGTTAAAACTACACTGACTGCAAAGCAGACTGTGGGAAGACAATTAAAAAAAAAAAATTTGTTTATTTATCTGGCTGTGTTGGGTCTTACTCATGGCATGCAGAACTTTTTTTTTTTTTTTTTTTAGTTGCAGCATGTGGAATCTTTAGTTGTCGCACGTGGAATCTAGTTCCCTGGCCAGGATGGAACCCAGGCCCAGGCCCCCCTGCATTGGGAGCACACAGTCTTAGCCACTGGACCACCAGGGGAGTCCCAACAATGTCATATATTGATTCTTGATTTTTTTTTAAATGGTTTTAATGTTTAAAGTACTATGAAGGAGAATTTGGTGATATTTAGAAAAATTACATGTGTACTTAATCTGTATCCCAGTTATCCCACTTCTAGGAATGTATTTCAATGACACATTGACAAAACTTTACAAAAGACTGCAATAGATTATATTTCTCTCCAGCCTTCCTAGTACCCACAATTCTCCCGTGGCCTCTTCGTGGGTGCAGCAATTCTTCATCTTTGATGTTGGGCTTGACCTGGAGGCTTCTTTTGAAATGATGCCATGTCAGTGGAAATGACAGTGTGCTAGACCCAAAGCTAGGCTTTAAGAGACATAAACAATAAGTGGTTATTTTTATATTCAGCTAAGTCTTGGCAGTTGTTTACTACATGGCATTTTGTAGCAAAAGCTGATACAAAGGAAACACTGTTTGTTATAAATAGCATGTCATTGGAAACAACCCAAATGTCCATCAATAGATGACTGAATGAATAAACCATGGACAAACTACACAAAGGATTATTATGCTTTATGCTTAAATTTTTTTAACAGCAAGAGTAACTGCCATTTAAGCAGATCAATTTAAGATATTCATAGGCAATTATTTCTTCTGAGAATCTTCAAATTTGATGTATACAGAGCATTTACTTATTCACAGTAACATTGGTATTAATCAAGGCACCAGCCCCAAAGCACTGCTTTCAGCCTTAGTAAATCAGACGTGTAAGTATCAGATCTGGATTGCTCTTCCCAGGAAAATCATGAGTTACTGTGGGCCAGGAGTATTGGACTTTGCTCATCAAAAGTGATCTCAGACTCCTAATGGCCACCTCGCATGAATGAATAGGGAAGGATTGTTGGAGGTATAAGTTGCTGACTGTGCATGGTAGCTGACTTTAGGGTTTTTCCTTGATTGCTGTGGGGAGCTATATATCATGACACATTAAGATGGCAGGTTCGAGGTCAAACACCCGAGCTCTAATCCCTGACATTTTGAAGTATGACCAACTTAGTTATTGTAAAACTCAAGTCTCTTATCCATCAGTCAAAGTTAATAGTACCTACCATTGAGTTTCAATGAGGATGAAAAGAGGGAGCAAATTACAGATTGTGCACAGTGTCTGAAAGATCATAGACACCCAAATATATTTGTACATCCCTTCTCATCAAAATTATGGAATTTTGAATGTAAATGTGGGCTCTGAAATCTTAATTTAATCTTAATCTTAAATTTAAGACACCCCTTAATATTTTCAAAGAAATTTATTTGTATAAATTATTACAATACTCATAAGGCACAATTCACTACATCTGGCATCCGATCAAAAATGACCAGGCATGCAAAAGCAGCATGATATCTACAATGAGGATATAAATCAACAAACCAAAACTGACTCAGAAATGACAGAAAATGGAATTTGTTTTCATAACCTGAGAGACTTTGATTTGAACTTGAGGTTAACAGCTTTGGCTTGAAGATATCTTTGTTGGGATATTTGGAAATTTTGTCTTTCTTGAATTTAAGATCAATAACATCTCCAATCAATTTTTTTTGTTAATCTACCCAAGATTTTCCATATGTTTAGAACAGTAAAACAGATATTTCAAGGCATCTCATTCACAATAGTGCCTGAAAGTCTTGATTCATTTGTTTACTGTGTCAATACATCTCAGTCCTTGAGAATCTTGAAGGACACATTTTATCTTAAACCTGCAGAAAACTAGTCTCCATTGTATGTAGTGATGTTAGTGACAACCAACCAAGAAAGCAGGGTCATAGAGATGTGTGTTCAAAGAGACCACTAGATGGCGCAATATCTTCACATTTCATTGACAACACTGCCGCCCAGAAGGGAATTTAGGCCTTTACAAGGGACTCTTACCGGAAAGCTGTCCTAATTTGTCATTCCAGCTGCCTGCCTTACTTGCTGATGATCTTCTGAGAAGGAACTGAGTCTAACACATCTTTGCTTTGCTTTAACTTGAAAGAGAGATTTCTAATTTTTTTTCTTTCTGTTGATGCTGTGGTGAGAGTTTGAGTATTTTCAAACACAGATCGTGAGATGAATCCTAATTCTCCCATTCCCCACCTCCGAACACAGGCTGCCTGCCTTCCCATCAACTTTGACCCAGATTCCAGCATTCTGCAAGGTCTAGGGTGGCTTCCTCTCCTGTCATAAGCCACCACTGCTCTTTCTAGCGGATGAGCATCTATTTTTCCTAAATTCTTACAATACTTTTGTTAGTTCCTTACTAAACAAGACAGTATACCATTGGGAAAGTCACCTAATTCGAGGCTCAGTTTGCTCCTCTATATAAGGGAAACCCCTATAGTACATCACTCACGTATAATACACAACAAATTCTCATAAGCATATATATTTATGAGTTTTTAGTATAATATTAGGTATGATTTCCCATGTCCTGTGCTTTAATGATACGGTCAGTATTTCCTGAACATGGGCAGTTTTCCAAGCAACTGCTTACTGATAGAGATGGAACAGTGAATAGAATGTATGCAAGCCATGGTCTCTCAAGCCTTATAGTAGAGGAAGGAGGGTGGGGTAAATCATCCCAGTAAGACCTACAGTGGACTACGGGAACATGCAGCAAAGAGAACTTCTCTGGTCAGCTAGAATTAGGAAAGTCCCTTTCAAGGAAGTATTACCTAAATTTAAGCTGATAAAAACAGCAGTGATCAGCCAAGTAAAGAGGAGAAGGGGGTGGGGTTTTAATGTAGTCTGTACAAGTCCAAAGACCAGGGCCAAATGGCTTCACTAGTGAACTACACCAAATATTTATTTTAAAAAACAATGCCAATAAAGAGATAAATAAAAATTTAAAAAAGAATGCCAAAACTTTACAAACTCTTTCAAAAAATAAAACTATATTTTTATTTTGAAAAAAAATTTCCAACTCATTCTAGTATCACTCTAATATCAGAACCAAACAAAAACATTACCAGAACACTCCAGACCATTGTATATTATGAATACATAAACAAAAATTCTCAACAAAATACCAGTAAACCAAATCCAAATGTATATAGAGAGTTGTAATGACCAAATGGAATTTGTACCAGGAATACAAGTTCTGCTTACAATCTCAAAATCAATTAATAAAATATACCATATTAACGAAATTTAAAAAAAACTACATGATCATCTCAATAGGTACATTTGACAAAAATCCAATACCTGTTCATGATAAAAACACTAAACAAATAAAAATAAAAGGAAACTTCCTCAACCTGATAAAGGGCATCTATTAAGTACACACGGTTAATATAAAACTTAGTAATGAAAAAAAAACCTGAATATTGTTACTGTAAGATCAACATGCATCACTTCTATTCAACATTGTACTTGATGGAAGTTCTAGTCAGGACAATTAGGTGAGACAATGAAACAAAAGTCATACAACTGGAAAGAAAGAAGTAAAGCTATCTCCCTTTACAGATGATTATCTTACATATAAAAATCTTAAGGAATCCACTAAACACCTATTAAAATTAACAAGCAAGATATGAAAAGGTGCAAGAGAGATGGTCAAAACATAAAAAACAAGTGTATTTTCTAAACACTTGCAATAAAAATCCAAAAATAAAACTAAGAAAATAATTTGCTTACGAGAGTCAAAAATAACAAAATGTATAGCAATATATTTAACAAAGTACAAAATATCATGCTCTGAAGACTATAAAACGGTGTTAAAATCAATTAAAAATAAATTAAAGAAGTTCTAAAGAAATGGAAAAAAAATATTAGCTCTACAGATTGGAAGATTTAACATTGTTAAAATGACAACACTCCCAGATCTACAGACTAGGTATAATCTCTGTCAGGATTCTGGTTGGTTACTTTGTAGGAATTGACAAACTGATCCTAAAATTAATATGCAAACTCAAGAGACACAAAATAGCTTGAACAATTGCAGTTGAAACTCACACTTTCTGATTTCAAAACTTACTACAAAGCAACAGTAATTAAGATACAGTGTTGCAGGCAAAGATGGAGAAACTCTATACAGCCAGCAAAAACAAGACCGGGAGCTGACTGTGGCTCAGATCATGAACTCCTTATTGCCAAATTCAGACTTAAATTGAAGAAAATAGGGAAAACCACTAGACCATTCAGGTATGACCTAAATCAAATCCCTTATGACTATACAGTGAAAGTAAGAAATTGATTTAAGGGACTAGATCTGATAGACAGAGTGCCTGATGAACTATGGACAGAGGTTCGTGACATGGTACAGGAGACAGGGATTAAGACCATCCCCATGGAAAAGAAACACAAAAAGGCAAAATGGTTGTCTGAGGAGGCCTTACAAATAGCTGTGAAAAGAAGAGAAGTGAAAAGCAAAGGAGAAAAGGAGAGATATTCCCATTTGAATGCAGAGTTCCAAAGAATAGCAAGGAGAGATAAGAAAGCCTTCCTCAGTGATCAATGCAAAGAAATAGAGGAAAACAATAGAATGGGAAAGACTAG